TATATATATATATATATATATATATATATATACGCTGATAAATAAATAAAGGGAGATATATATATATATATTTATATATATATATATATATTTACAAGAAGAAGCTGCTGAATTATTTCTGGACAGGTTAATCCATTGGAATTACTGAGCTCTTTAAATCTCTCGCGAATCGGGTCGTTTTCATGGGGAATTTTATTTATTTATTATTTTAGCTTTTTTTAATTGGAATTTGTCAAACGTCAACGAGAACAAGAATGGTAAAAGGTTCTCCTCGCACATATGTGCTAGTCGTTCCCGACTCTAGGGGACAGTGCTCCTCTCCCTTTCAAAGCTGAAGAGTCAGCACTGTCCGAAGACGTCTCCGTGGTCATGTGGCCGGCATGACTCAACTCCCGAAGGTGCATGGAACGCTGTTCCCTTCCCATCAAAATTGGGGGTTCCTATTTTTCTACTTGCATTTTTTAACGTGCTTTCCAACTGCTAGGTTGGCAGAAGCTGGGACGAGTCACGGGAGCTCCCTCCGTTATGTGGCACTGGGGATTCGAACCGCCTAACTGCTGACCCTTTCTGATCGACAAGATCGGCGTCTTAGCCACTGAGCCACCGCGTTCTTCAAATTACACAACCACACAAATTAGGGACTCTTGTTTTTGAGGGTCCATGGATTACGATTGCAAAATTTCCAACACAACATATTTTTCCCCACAATGTTGTTGTTTGCAAGGCAGGCCAAATAAAATTGGATTTTTTTTGCATGGATCCTGGCTGGTTTGGAGAAGATTGGGGCAGGGGAAGGGGGCGTTGGTTTCTTCACCGACCCAACCCCAATTCTCAGGATTCAAACCCTTCACCTGGGAGGGTTTGAATCCACAAGCTGGGGGCGTACTTGAATGCACAAGCTGGGGCCTCTTTCTGCTTCTGCATTTCCCCCAGTGGCAGAGAAAGAGGGGTGGGTCGGTGTCTGGGGAGGGGAGGGGGTGGCAGTTTGCATCCCAGATGTCTTGAGTGATTTATGTGCCCGGCTTCCCAGCATAAACGATAGAAGCAAGCCATAAATCATAGACTGGGTAGAAGGAGAAACGTTTGCTTAGGACTTGTTTAAGCAAAGCACTCAGAGGAGCTTCGCTTTATTTTGCTTTAAACAGAGAGGGAGGGAGAGAGAAACAGACAGAGACAGACAGAGAGAGAGGCAGAAAGGAGAGAGAAAGACAGAGACAGAGAGAGAAGAGAGAAGAGAGAGAGAAGAGAGACAGAATAAGAGAGAGAGAGAGAAGAAAGAGAGGCAGAGGGAAGGAGATACAGAGAGAGAGAGAGAGACAAGCAGAGAGAGAAGAGAGAAAGAAAGAGAGAAGAGAGGCAGAGGGAGGGAGATACACAAACAGAGAGAGAGACAGACAGAGAGAGAAAAGAGAGAGAGAAGAGAGAGAGGCAGAGGGAGGGAGATACAGAGAGAGAGAAGAGACAGAGAGAGAAGAGAGAGAGAGAATAAGAGAGAGAGAGAGAGAAAGAAAGAGAAGAAAGAGAGGCAGAGGGGGATACACAGAGAGAGAGAGAGAGAGAGAGAGACAGAGAGAAAAGAGAGAGAATAAGAGAAAGAGAAAAAAGAGAGAGTGAGAAAAGACACAGAGAGAGAGATAGAGAGGCAGAGAGAAAGAAATACACACACAGGGAGAAAGAATAAGAGAGAGAGGGAGTGAGAAAGAAAGAAAGAAAGAGACAGAGAAAGAAGAGAGAAAAAAAGAGAAAAAGAGAGGGAAGGAAATAAGAGAGGGAAGAGAGAGAGAGAGATACAAGAGAGAAGAGAGAGAGAGAAAGGGAGGGGGATGGCCTCTCTTGAATTAACTAGAAATGCGCCCCCTTCTCCCCCCCTCCTGCTCGTCTGATTCGTAATTGATTGAAGCGGGGAATTGATTAATTTAGTCCTTGTTTAGACTGAGGTGGTAAACTGGTGTCTGGACTGGAATCAATGAGTAGTTTTTCCATGCTAAGTAAATAAACCAGATAAGGGGGCCCCGCCCATTAAGTGGCGGGGGGGGGGGAGGAACTGCTAGCTTTCTAAGTGCAGGGAGCACAGTCAAAGCATTTATTTCATTGTTTAGAACATTGGCATGGACCCCTGCGACTCAAGGCGGCTTAATTAAAGGTAAAAGTTCCCCTCGCACATATGTGCTAGTCGTTCCCGACTCTAGGGGGCACTGCTCATCTCCGTTTCAAAGCCGAAGATCCAGCGCTGTCCGGAGATGTCTCCGTGGTCATGTGGCCGGCATGACTCAACTCCCGAAGCCGCACGGAACGTTGTTCCCTTCCCACCAAAGGTGGTTCCTATTTTTCTACTTGCNTTATATGTCACAGAGAAACAACACAGTCTAGTTCAGATGTATACATGTACATGGCAAGAAAAACAAATCTTGTGAGTTTACCAGACGTATGGCATAGGGAACAAAGCTGTTACAGAATCTGGAAGCCCTTTTAGAAATACTTCAAAGCCTTCTCCCAGAAGGGAGCAACAGAAACAGTCCGTAAAGTGGGTGCGTGGGGTCTCTACCAATGCTTTGAGCTCTAAGCACATATAGGCAGTGGTGGGATTCAGCCAGTTCGCATCATTTAGGGAGAACCGGTTGTTAACTTTCTGAGCAGTTTGGTGAACTGGTTGTTGGAAGAAATCATTAGGACAGAGAACCAGTTGTTAAATTATTTGAATCCTACCATTGCATATAGGAATATAGGGAGAGTAGCTAGGAAACAACAAGCAACTTTGTATAGCATTTCCTTAGCAAGAGTATAGTAACTTTCATAACAAATCTGTTGAGGTTCATTAATATCTCTATACCTGAGGAAGTTGTTTGCAAGCATTGAATTTTGGAAGCCTGCGCTGTGAGGTGATCTGGCTGGAATGCATTGAGTTAGGCTTTATGTTTCTTACAACAAATCCAGCTTGATTTGAACAAGGATTCAGTTACATCTGTCTTTAAAAAGTGATTACTGTGTTCCAAGCATCATAAGAATTTCCACTTGGATCTCTGAGCATTGCTTCTTACCATGCTTCAGTAAAGCTGCTAATGAAATGTATATCTTTGATTTCAGGATCCAGGTATGGGAGGGATGGAGAGCAGCACAAATGATATCTCATTCTATATAGGTATGCTGGATCCCTGGTACGAACGCAATGTTCTTGAGCTAATGAATCTTCCCACCAACGTTTTATGCCAGGTATTTTCTGAATTCTGAATTGCTTAGCATGCATCTTGTTATTCAGTAATGCACTCCATACCCTTATTCTCGTCAAACCTTTGCCCTTGGTCACTGTTGCCTATAAAGGGGAAATGTATCAAAAGATCAAAGCATATATTTAAGGAAGTGATCTTGTCATGCATGAAGGATGCCATATAGAAAGATGGAGGCAGAATTGTGATATTGTGATAGAGGAGAACAGAAAAGAGATCTCCTTTCTATTAACATATTAAAATCCCTCCTTTGAGTGTTTAGCTTATTGAAACAAAAAGTAATTCTCCGTTCTATGTCTGAGGAGAAATGTTAAATTATATCCTGTTCACTTATGCAATAAGGACATTAACCTGTGTTAGCTTCCTGCCATGGGGTTCCATAAAATGCTAAGATTCTTGGAGGACTGACAAACATACATGTCTTCCTGTGTGGCAAAGAGCTGCAATGAATACTTGTTAACTTATTACCGTAAATTTAGCTGTCTTAAATACACATAAACCTTGTGCCTATTTGGATGTATTTGTCTTATTTTGTATTGACTTGCAAAGTTGCTTAGCTTTAGGCTTTCCACTTACACATTTTCTCTTTAAAAAAATGAAACGTTTGGGGGAACAAACCGAGAATCCTTCCTTGTCTTAGGGAGATATTCTTATGGGGTAGAGGGTGAGCAGAAGGCTGTGAGGGAATTAGTGAACTGCATTGCTTAGGTGAAAGAGAACTGATGACTTTTTGTCTGTCTGCAGCAATCCATTAAGCCTGAGGGAGAGTCTTCAGAGGAAACAGCCACCAAACTTCCCATCCTGGCTGATATGATTCTTTATTACTGCCGCTTTGCTACCCACTCTATATTACTCCAGGTCTATCAGGCAGAGGTGAGAATGGAAAAAAAAACAGGGGTTGGTAAAGGCATATAATAAATAATTGTTATTAGTATGCTGTCATTATTCTTGCAGTCCCATGCAATAGGCCAAGAATATGTTCAATTTCACTCAGCATATTTCATCCTATTTTGTGTTTGGCTAGGTTACCATTTTTCTGTGTGGCAGAAAAAGTCAGACCCAATAATACATTTTTCTTCTTGAAAATTAGAAGAGGGGGTGCCCTATGGCTCTAAAAGGCCAGTCTTGTTATTAGATCATTTTAGAAAGCTCATCAGATGCCTGATTCATTCTTCTTCCCAAAACACTGTTGCTGGTTTCTTCTGCCTATTTATAGATGAACTGACTGCCTCAACACACATTAAGTGTAGTCTTCCTGTTATTTATTGCAACAGTCTCTAAATCTTGTGATTCGTGGTTCCAATTCATATTTGGTCCTATAAACCACATTTAATGTGTTTGTTAATTTTTTTTAGAAAAAAAAATCTTGAATATAGAAAGGTGGGGATGGGGGTGATTTGCTTTGGTTTATCTTGAAGGAGAATGTTAAATGGCCTCTTCCTCTGAATTTCACAGCTCACTTTCATTGGTGGGGGGAGAAAAAGTGAGATCTTCATCCACTCCCTTGAGTTGGGCCACTCAGCAGCTACACGGGCCATCAAAGCCTCAGGTAAGCCAAAGGAGGCTCATGTGTGATCACTTTGTGTTCAATTTTGGGATGGGGGAAAATAAGGGGTGGGTTCCAGCTGCTGCTATTGTCAGTTCACTCAGGGACATGCTGCACATGCTTGCTTGTTGTGCGCTACATGTGCATGTGCTGTATTAAAAGTGCTCCTGTGCATGCGGCGCAGAAGCAAAAAACAAGATGGTGGGGCCGAGAGAACCAGTTTGGGAGCATGGCAGGCCGAGTTATGGCCTACTTGGCTGAACCGGGCCAAACCGGTAGGAACCCACCTCTGAGGAAAACTCAGTGATGCAAAGGAGAAAAACCAAAACCCTGCCTGCAAAGAGCAACCAAATTGATAAACTCAGCCAGGACTGTCATCTACCGAAGGGTTTTCTCCTCAGCAATTGCTAGCATGAAACTCATGAGGAAGACATACCTGATAAAATAAAAGAGGCCCTTTGTAACTATGTAAATCAATTAACAGACGGGCCAGCAACTCTTTGGTCTTGTTTTGGAGAAACACTAATCTACCCAGTTCTTCTGCTGCCATCTTGTTTCTCTGGAATGCTTGTAAAAGCTCACCATAGAAAGCAGGAAAGAGAATTGTTTAGTTTGACTCCTATAAGGTACCTATGAGAAGGAGGCAAAGGGGCAGCCTCCTGCTTTCAGGTATCCATGGAAAGTAAGGATATCAATACTGTGAACCAACCAATAAAAGAGGCACATACAGTATGGTCATGGCAACAGCTATGCACTGAGGACCCAAGACATGAAGTCTTCTTGAAGGATGGGGAGAAGCTAAAATAGAGGAACAGCATGTGTATTTATTCGGTTACAAAACTAAACAGCTCTTCCCAATTTGCTAAACTACCTGCAGAGTCTTTCTATGTTCTATTGGCGTTTACTCCCATCCATCCATCCAATCCTATCTTCTTATTTTGTTCAGGTCCAGGTTGCAAGCGTCTTGGCATAGATGGAGACAGAGAAGCAATCCCACTAACACTACAGATCACTTACAGCAAGGTAAGGAAGATGCTCTTCTTATGGGCCTCCCATGTTAGGACCTGGGTTGGAAAGGGAGATTCTGATCAGGAAAGGGAAGAAAACAGCAACACAAGTCTGAAGTTCTCAAGCACTGGGAGCAACACATGGGGAAATATATTTAATTAGAGAGAGCTAATGCTGTTAGCTACGGTCTTCAGAGATTGGTACATGGAACCAAGGGACCGGGAATAACTCACCTTTAATTTCTCCAGAGGTCAGTCAGTGGAAGGAGCCGCTGGAATGACATTGAAAAAGTTTGTACATCCGTCAACCTTAGCAAGGTGTGTAAGAGGCAAGAGGAACTTGGTAAGTGTGGGCAACAATTCTGCTTCCATAAGACCAATAATAAGTGGAGGTTGGGGGAGGGGAGAATCTTGTCGAATCTAGGATTTATCTTAAGAAGTGGGCAGCTGATTCAGAGAAGCCCAGACTGTGCAGTGGAGGTGTGTATTTATTAATGCACCCCTTGTTGATCAACTTGACTCTTATGTAATGCAAGGCAAATACTTGTGTCCCAACATCTGGCACTAGTCCTTGAGTTGTGGGATTTTTAGTTTAGTTTTAGTTTTATTAGAATTTGTAGGCCGCCCTTTTCCCCGAGGGGACTCAGGGCGGCTCACATAAA